GAGAGGAAGGGAGAGGAAACTAGTCAATTGAGGTAACGTTCATATAACTAGTTGAATTAATTTACTTAACCTATCAATTCCTTAATTCTCCATAATACATTTTATTGAAGTTACTAAACTAGACTTCAGGCTTAACTACAAAATAAAACTGCATTTCATGAAGGTCTTGACAAGACACATTGCACTTGGTGACTATCTCGCTGATGCCCCAGTTTGAAATCCCAGTGGCCGCCCAGTTGTTTCCTCTTCGGATGTCTCTTAACAGGGAAGGTGACCTCTGTCAGTGGGCATAGACCTGCTTTCCTCTGTCACTGCACCAGCACTGTAACAAACTCTTCTAACTCAAAATTCAGCGTTACGAGCCACAAATTCTAGTTCTGATACTAAATTTGATGTTTCTCTCTCAAACAGTATGCAGTGTACCTGAATCCAGGGCAGGCTGTGAAGGACTTAAATAGATTCTCAGAAAATCTTCTGGACTTGCACATTCTTCAGCATTATACAAATAGTTAATTGTCTCTGCCGGGATTAGCAGCTCGGGTGCAAGAGTGTGTACACTCTCATTCGTATCCTCACTGTCATCCTTGATAATAAACAGCATATTTCAATGCAGTTACAATAAGAGCACAGGCTATGACACAGTTAAAGTTGAGGAAATTTGCCCTTCTCTGCCAAACGCAACTGTGTCCTCTGTTCCCAAGAGTGCACAGCAGCGGGCCGGGGTAGGAGGCAACGTAAGGCATCGGCTTCATGTGCGACTTTCACCTGGCTCTAAGCTATGTTGGTGCAGGTGATCAGTTCAATCAAATGGCTGCACAAAATAACCCTACAGAGGTCTAGAAAGAAACTTGGAATAAAATAATGAGGTTTTGTAATGCTTTAACACTGCTTCTAGAGTCCTCTCAGGTGTATACGCTATTAAACTCTGAGAGCCAAGCGTGGCTGCTTGCTGGTGTGGTTTGGGGGGATTTATGGGGGTAAACTAGGTAAATTTCTTATAGCCCAGGTATTTGAAGTTTACCTCAGAACTCTGAATACAGGCTGCCAGTTTGAGTAGGAGGGTAAGGCACTCTGCGACCACCTCTGCTGTAGACTGCGATTGCGTCGAGCCTTGTGGACACGTCACGGGAGACGTTGCTATTGCCACGTACCAGTCTGGGAACAGTCTGGTGGGGATGTTATGTGCCACCACTAAAACTTTAATTTCCTGGAGTAAAGCACTGAGTGGAAAGAGAGTGAATTCCATCCTAAAGTACAGCGAGGAGTTTTTATCGGATGGTCCATTACATAACCTGTGCATTCCTAGAGCTATGCTAGAGCGTTGTACGTGTACAGCGTGGTACACCCCTCCCACCCCAGCCAGCGGAAACCTTTCCTCATTGTACTCCGACGTACTGTGCAAGGGTCTTGAGTGGACTGGTCAGACGTGAGGGTAAGAAACGAGCGAAAGAGCAGTAGGGATTTTATAAGCAAATGCAGGAGTGTGATGGTAGCTTGCTTTGATAGGAATTCCATTCACAGCAAAGAAAATGATGCAGTTTTCATGAACCTGGATTTCAGTGAATTAATACAGGGCCCTAGAGAAACACCCAGGTTAAGCTAAAGACAATAATTGACTGAACTCTGTGGGACTGGTTAGGTAGCGTTGAAAGGACAAATAGCAGGCTGGAAAGCAGTGACTAACACTCGATAATTTCTGGAATTCCAGTGCGTACATCTACAAATGCTTACAAAGCAGGGTACAGAAATAATGACCGATTCCTAAGGAAGGAATTTTCCTGCTTTCTGAAACCTGTGAAGGCCGTTGACAGTTGAAGTCCTGGTGTCTTGAAGATGGACTGCAGGGGGCTGGGCAAGAGCCTGCTGTCAGCTGCTGACTGCATCCAGAAAAGATGTGTCCTGTTAGCTGGAAAATGTCCGCTCCTCGGTGATCAACAGGTATTCAATGGAAGAATAAAAGCTTGATGTAATCGTAGCTAACGTTCAGTTTAACCTTAAGGAAGCATTCCACCACTTCAGCTAAAATTGTGTTTCATCTAAGTGATGCGAAACACTTACCTATGACCTTGATTTTGGAGAGAAGCTAAATCTTGGATGATGAGATGGATTGTGCTACTGCAAGACTGCAGAGGAAAGGGTAGGGTTTTTACAGAATTGCGTATTACAAACTAATTTGTGAATATAAAAATAATTCATCAGCTGCCCTACACGGGCTTTCCCTTTGAGTCACAGGTGCTGAGGACAACGCACGTGGTTCCCATTACGTCTGACAGAACATGTCATCTAATTCTGTCAGATCAATGTGCTGGGGCAGTTATCTGAAGCATTGGGTGGAGCAAATCCCCGGGGGGAAGCTACTGAACCCACCACACCATTATTCAGGTCTTTAAGTCTATGTATGGAGTAAGAGATGGTTATACGTTTGTAGTTAGCTGGATCTTAGAAGCCAAATTTGTACAAAGATGAATCAAGGTTACTTGATCGCACTAGGAATTTCTGTAACTTACCTCTACTACATGAAAAATACAGCCGGAATAGAGAAGTAGCAGACCCGAGACTTGTTCTCTTGAGTGGTCTTCTAAAGCATCTTCAAACAATCCTCTGTGATAACCTTGTTTCAAAAGAAACTGGCAGTGTTTGTCAGTTTTTAGCGATAGCTCCGGCAAGTCAGTGGTGTGTGGTCTGTTGTCTGTGTTCTCTCTGCTGCCACAGACAACAGATTCACAGATTACGCTTTTATTACTCAGACAAAACATGAAAGGATTGCTACCATGGGAATCTCTTCTTGACATATGCACCGATGCAATTCGCATTAGATCCTAAAACTGCACCAAACCCTGCAATATTTCAGTAGCTGAAGTCTAAAATTCCCAGTAGCATTTCCTTCTTTACTCTAAAGATGTAGTTACACCTGTGTTGCTGTAGATAGATCACCTGAAGGGCCCAAATGTAGAGCACTTCACAACTCTTGCATGTGCAGTTGAATCCTTGCCTCTGCTCGACACTGGCGCTAGCTGATACAGGTGTTTAAAAAAAAATTAAATTGCCTTAATGTATCTCACTCATCAGACAAAACATTTGGTATACGTTAGTTGCCTGAGTCATACGTAAAGTCGGTCGCAAAAACAATCTCAGACTTTGAAAGTAAATCTCTCTCTCTCCCTCAGGGTTTCTAATCGTCGTGTTTCATTTGCTTAGGAAGGATTCCCAAGCGACAAAACTATATGGTTTAACAAAATACCACTTCCTCACTTTATGGGCTACTGCAAGGCTTGTGCGGCCCCCCCTGCTCCGCGCCGTCCGTTACGTTACTCCGTGCACACGCAGCGCCAGAAGCTTTAGTCGGTGGCACCTGCTGCAGCCGCGCGACGCGTGCAGTTTTCATGGGTTCTACGACACGGTGCGGCCGGCGAGCGTGAGCCGCGAGCACAGGCGGCGGGGTTCCCCGAGCCCCAGCGCTCAGCGAGGGCCCGGCCGCTCCCGGTGCC